TATAATTATAAATTTATAATATTATCCGTGATGTTACCGTGATCTTGTGGAAACTTTACCGCACGCTGTTAGGATAAAATAACCCCCTAAATTTGTGATCCTAACAATGGTGCGTGCCGCGATAATCACGGCCCCCTTCTAGCCTCTCCTATTGTTTTTGCCGCCCCTTTCCAGCCTCTTCTATTAGGCAAAAACCCTTCTTTAAGTCCTCAAATTAATATAAATAGTATTTAATCCCTTAAATTAAAAATAAAATAAATAAATCTTTTAATTTTTTTAATGATACAAATAAACTTTTTTATTTTGTTTAATATTATCTTAAAAACATGAATACCCATAAATTAAAAAAATATTTTCATTCTTAGTAGAATTGAAAGACTTACTTACTTCATTTTTTATTTAAGAATTTAAATATTATTTTGATATAAATTTGGACTTAAAAACGGTGTTTGCCACTTTGCCTTCTATTATTCTTTTTCGAGAACCTTCGCCTGCTCGAACTCTCACCGTTGGATCATCGATCCTGACACGTGTAGGGTTCTCAGCTCAGATTACAGAACCATCTGATCGGGAATAATCTTTTCTTCCCCTAACCAATTTTCCTTCCCATTTATGTCTATTTATGACTGCTCATCCCACTAATTTTTCAGTGAATATCTCAGCATTACCCAGCACCGACGACTCCAAGCTATACCAGAGCTCCCTTCAGCCTTCCCTACGCAGCTCACTCTCTCCACTCTCCATGGCTCCTGCGCTCGTCCAAACCGTCGTGAAACCAGTCGAGATCGCCAAACCTGCCACCTTGCCGACCCGGGCGTATGTTACCTTTTTGGCTGGAAATGGCGATTACGTGAAAGGCATCGTGGGGTTAGCCAAGGGGTTGAGAAGGGTCAAAACCGCATACCCATTAGTGGTTGCGGTTTTGCCCGACGTACCGGAGGAGCATAGACGGATCCTTGAGAACCAGGGGTGTATTGTCCGTGAGATCGAACCTGTTTACCCGCCCGAGAACCAAACCCAGTTCGCCATGGCTTATTACGTTATCAACTATTCCAAGCTCCGTATCTGGGAGGTACGTGCACGCTGGGGTTAATTTGTCTCATCTGTCCTCTCTTATGGCTAACACGTGTTCAATTACCGGAGTCATGAAACGTGTCAAGAGATTCAATATTTTTTTTGTTGACAATAATGTTCCTTGACTAATCTGATTAATTTTTCCATGGATGGGTAAATTCGTCATTTCATTTATTTATTTATTTTTGCTAATTTTGGCGTTTGCAGTTTGTGGAGTATGGTAAAATGATATACTTGGATGGAGATATTCAAGTGTATGACAACATCGATCACCTGTTTGATCTTCCCGGTGGGTATTTCTACGCCGTGATGGATTGTTTCTGTGAGAAAACATGGAGCCACACCCCACAGTACAAGATCGGGTACTGCCAACAGTGTCCAGACAAAGTTCAGTGGCCGGTGGAAATGGGTCAGCCCCCAGCTCTCTACTTCAACGCCGGTATGTTCGTTTTCGAGCCTAACCTTGCAACATACGATGACCTCCTCAACACTCTCAAAGTCACCACTCCTACCCCATTTGCTGAACAGGTAAATAGAAAGAGTTCGGTTTGAATCTTTGTTTATTATAGTGATTTGTAATTTAAACTGTATATATTATACTAAAAGACATGCTCGGGACAAAATATAACATGGTACTCCTAGCTTTATATTTATTTGGTATTAAATTTTTTCGTTTTGTGTTAGGACTTTTTGAACATGTTCTTCAAGGACATTTACAAGCCCATTCCGAATGTTTACAACCTTGTACTGGCCATGTTATGGCGTCATCCGGAGAATGTGGAGCTGGACAAAGTGAAAGTTGTTCACTACTGCGCAGCGGGATCGAAGCCCTGGAGGTATACAGGGAGGGAAGAGAGTATGCAAAGAGAAGACATCAAGATGCTTGTCAAGAAATGGTGGAACATTTACAACGACGAATCACTGGATTACAAGAAGCCAGTCGTGGCGGAGGCCGGTGATGCCGAGCCAGTGAACTTGCAGTCCTTCATAGCGGCTCTCTCGGAAGCTGGTGCAGTCAGTTATGTGACTACCCCATCAGCTGCGTGAAGTGCCATCAGCGGCATCTTTCTCCGAGTGAAGATCAAAATTAAGGACTACGATTAATTGTAGGTACAAAAGGAAAGAGAGTCAAAATGGAAATTTCCTTCTACCTTAAGCTAGAAGTTTAGTAGGATTTTCCTTTCGCTTTTCCCTACTTCTGTGGGGTCTTGGTTGGGCTTGTCTGTCTATAGTGTGTGCTTTAGTGCGTATTGTGAACGGATACGTCTGCAGAAATCGGCCATTGTAATCTTTATTTATTTATTTGTTATTGTTGAAGGGAAGATTCGAATCTTATATTTTTAAATTATAATATAAAAAAAAATTTATAGGAGGAAGTGGACACTAAGTTATAAAAATATTCTCCATTGTAATCTTTAATTTGAAGCAATGGTGAAATGAAAATATAATAGTGTTTCCTTTTTTTTATGGTGGAAATTATGAGGCGTTTGGTTTACTCCTTTTCAGAAATCTCTCTTTAGATCTTCTAATGTATTTTAATATTCATACACATTAAAATTATAACAAATTATGGAATAAAAGTGATTTTTTTTAAATTTATTTTTCTTATATAAGTTTTCAAAAAAGTGCATGTAGTTCATTTTATGAAAATTTTAAAATATTTTTAAT